CGCCGCGTCTAGTTTCTGCCCGGCGCCCCGGGCGCGTTTTCGGTGGGGATAATGTCGGGGCAGGGGCCCGCTCCGCGCCCGGCGGGGTCAGAGCTGACTGCGCCAGCGCCGCTCGTCCCCCCGCCGCCAGCTTTGAGAGGAAAACCTGCCGGGGGGGCGGCTATTAAAATTCGGTTGCGCTCTGAAGAAATAAAGTTTTAGAGGAGCAGTATACCCCCGGGAGGCGTAAATTCACCTGCCCCGTAGGAAGAGGGACTCGCCCCCGGGCAGAGCGCTCCCTCCCGGGGAGCCCCGGGCTCTCCCTAAGGGCAGCAGCGCTGAAATTAATCCTGTGGGGAGGGAGCCGCAGGCGGATGGGCCACTGCTCAGAGACAGCGGCAATAACACACCCATTCATTTATTTGTTAAGAGAATCTTAAAAATGACAGCAAATACTTTATATCCACCCAGCTCCTCAGCGCGCACCGGCGACTGAATCACCGAAATCCATGACAGCTGCTTCGTTCCGTGGAAATCAAGCTACAAAGAAGAGGGCCAGGACTCCTTTATCAATCAATTATAAGCACAGTCTTTCAAGACAGCTACAGAGAGAGGTGCGAGGAGGGGGTGTGGGGAGAATAACCAGCAATAGCTCTCATTTTCATTCTTCGGCTCTGAGAAGTGACAGAGCTCGTCCTCCACACAAGAAATATTTGTCCACCATGTCTCCCCTGCATGCAGCAAAAACAATAAATGAAAGTGCATTTTTAATGCCAGTTGTGGCCAAAAGACTGAAGTACTGACTAACAGCGATTGTTAGAAAACATGCTCCAGTTGGCACAAAACAGTGGTTGGATGAACTGTCATGTTTTGACAATTCATACAAGGGGCCTCTTGCATGAAGTCTGAGAGATCTCTAGAGAAAATGAATACTTGAGAGACAGGGAGAAAAGACATTTGTTGTCCTACTGTATGTTACTTTATTATTGAAAAAATGTTGAGCTGTCATTGGCATATTGTCTACAGATGAAAGAGGCTATAAGGAAAAGAATAACTTGAAAGAAAGTAAAAATTTCTCACTAATAAGATTTTTTCTTTTTTCTTGCTTAGCACACCCTTCAGTTCAGCGAGGCAGATGCTGCTTTTCCTGTGATTTTCCTCCCCCTGGATTTCAGCACCATTGCACATGGCAAAAATACCATCTAATTGTTAAACAAGAATTCTTGCATATGTATATGGGGTCACAGCATCTGCTATTTTATACGGAACAATTCTATTAATCTGGTGTGAATAACTGCTGTTAATTGAAGCCTTGCCCTATTATATTCGTAACACTATTTCCAAAACTATGTAAGAGTTCTTCTAAGATTGCAAAAAGGATGTGTTTGAATTAAAGTAGTACATCACTTTTGCAATATCTTTACTAAGAGAGCATTGATTCATTTTTCCTCTGGGACAAAGTATTATTCTTCTCATTCCTCGCCTGACTTTACCTCACCTTCCAAACAGGAACTTGTAACAATTAGTTCATATCCATGTCATGCTGAGCCAAGTATCATGATAGCTGTGTCATTCTGAAGACATCAGTATTAGTCTAATTTGTTGTAGATTTATAAAACAAGTAGTCATAGGAACCTAACTGTAACACAAATTCATCTGGCTGGTGCCCTCTTTCTCTCCCTTGTGTTTTTCTTCCCTTTTGTTTGATGTTCAGATTCATTGAGTTTCATGTCAGCAGTATCTAGCTGGTATCCAACTCACATGAATGAAATCGTATTTTGAATGCAAGCGCATGAGTACTTGAATTCAGCAAGTTGCACACAACCTACCAGAGAAAAAAATTAATCATCTGACACCTCTCTGAGCAACTGCCGTGCCACTGAGCATCAAATGCACAGTGAGAATGACCCCAAATTATTCCACAGTAAAATTAGTCCAACGTTTTTTTTGGTGGGTTTTTTTTTTTTTTAGCAAACCCAATTCAGGAAATTGTGAACTCATCACAGACAACGTTCCATTACAAAGTGGTAAAAAAAAACCCAACAACCCTGTCAAATTAGTTTTCTGCAGACATAGAGCTAAGTGAAATTATTAATAAGTTGTTAATAGAGGCCATCCTTTGGATTATGCTTTTAGTACCTATTAAAGATGAGAATGATTATGCACTCTTGAAGGTATGTGCTCCTCCTCTGCTGAACTCACCTTTTGTAGACTTTTGTAAGCACACTAGTCATTTGGTAGCCAAATCTGCTATTTCCCCCTGAGTTTTAGCCCCAGTTAAATTTGGAATCCAAAACACTACTATTTCCCAAACTTGGGGGGGGGGCAAAAAAAATCTGTAAACTATGTTGCAAAAGTCTGATAGCCTGAGAGGGGTACTTCTGTATTTTGCACAAAGCTGGTTCAGAACAGCCAAGGAGTTCAGCTGCTAGTGGGGGACCTGGCAAAGAGACAGACAGCACGGCGGCATAAGAGCAAACCCCATCTCCTGTTTCCCAAACAGTCAGACATGGCAACCCTTATGCCTATTACTCTCATGAAACACGTTCTTCTTTCAAAACAGAATTTAGATGGGCTAAATTGCATTTGATTATTTTTTTTCCCCCCAGTCAGTAGCGGTTGCCACCATACCCTGCCAGGGTTGTGCTCCAGGTTCAGTGTTGTTGGCTGGCCTGGAGGGATGTAGAGGATGGGGCAGAGAGGGGTGTATTAACTGCATGAAGGCTTCCAGTCCTTAAGGGGCACCTGACGTCTGGAACCCCTGTTACAGAAGCTTAATGGATTTTATGCAGTGGACAATTGATTTCTTATACAATACCTATACAGAAGAGAAAATTAATATTCAACCAACCAGGACAAGAAATGAAATATGTGGCTGGGTGCAGTTAATCATGTAAGCCTCAGGACGGAGTTCCATCAGTGCTGCAAATGGGAGATTAATACGCTACCATAAGTCCACATATGCAGAAGGCATTAAAAGTTTGTTCTAGCCACATGAAATAGTCTGAGTGTACTTCAAAAGAAAACACAAAAATATGGAGATTTCAAGACTCCTCCTATCCTGCAGCCTGAATTACCAGATAATTTTGATTTCATCTGTTTTTTTTGAAGTCTTTATTTTCTGAAAGGCAGGTGGATTTTGCACCTCTCTGAGATGGTAGATGATTAATCAATGCTTGGATGGAGACAAACCTAGAAACCTCTAGACAAGATAGGAGAAAGTCTTATGAATGCATCACTCCAAGTATCCTGTTGTGCCAGTGATTATCTCTTGGGATTGCTGCATATAGTTTCAAAGGTATCATCAAGCACTGCTCCTGCCAGAACTACTAGAAGCAGTCCATCACAATTTTTAATACTGAGCATAGAAGCAGGGAACTTAGTTTGGCAGAGGAAGAGGGACCCTACATTTAAATTTACTCAGCCTTTCAATCAAAGAGATATCTTCAATAGTGGAACATGGGAAAAAAGTAATGAAGACAACTAATATTGCCCCACTCCAGCACTGTCAGCCTGTTAATCAGACGGGTTCTATCAGATGATTAGGCAAACAAAGTTTTGATAGACGTTTTATAGAGCATTCTGTAATCTTAATCACGCTGGGAGCAGTGAGGAAAGCTTCTGACACTCTAGTAGTAAAGGACTGCTGGGTTTTACTTCTGCTAATGATTTATTATGTGATTTTGGATTAACCACTTAATCAGAAGGCAGGGGTGGTCCTGAGACAAGGTTACTCGCCTAGAACCTGGATGGTTTAACTGTCTTCTGCCTTCCTCTGCTGAGTCCCTGTGTGACCTTCACAGAGCTGCTGAGATCCAGAGCCAATCATCAGCTGCTGAAAGGCACTGTCCGTCCCTGTCATGCTCACAGCTGTTCTGGAGAGAAATCTAGATCCCTGGAGAGTTTACTAATAAACATCCATGTGCATATAAGGTGCAGGTATGCAGAAGAATAGAGAGGAGTTTTAAGAATTGCCCTCTTAGGCTTGGGCTATTCTTAAAGGCGCTACTCCACGTACCCACACATACTGTACGCTGGGGATCTGAAGCGGCAGGAGGCATGTCCGCAGAGTGATGCTATGGGGTGTTCCAGTCTGAAATGCCTGACTTTGAGGGCCACTGCTACCCCTTTAATTTAAAGGAGGTTCTGCCAACTTTTGGAAATGTTAAAGAAAAAACCAAATTACTCCTGCCCCTCTTCAAGATTCTCCAGTAGTTTCAAGGTACATGTCCTGAATTACACTCACTGAGGGACAAAACAGTTTAGACTTGTCCTGAGTGAAGATTGTATTTTGTGTAACACCTCATCAAACTCTTGCCTTTCCTTGCAAAACAGAT